TTTTTTATCAATGCCTTCAAAATTAATATAATATAAATTTAATCCACAGTCAACACACACATATACACATACAGAGAATCTAAAATCACCACACACCTCACAAGAAAATTGGATACACACACATTTACACATACATTCTCATTTCTTCTTGCAACTATGGAATTTAAAGTTTGCATGTATAATAGATGTGTGCGTGTTCACATGTAAGCAATTAAAGAAGATGCAGACAAAAACTTGGATTTCTGCTACAGACTGCATATTGTTTTCTTTACAGTGGAAACTGTAGGGAAACAAAGTTCTCAATGTTTATCTCTTGGTATGTCTGTTTTCTGTAAATAATAAAACAAATGGTTATGTGTACCTAGAAGATCTATGGCTACTAAGTTGGATCATCATAACAAAATGGCGTCACCTGATGGAGCTCTGTTGAACACAAAAGAACCTGAAAATGTAAAGATTTGGATAAAATGCTTTGAGGCATGTGCCAGAATAAAGAAGTTACAAGATGACCAAACACCTGGAGGACAGAAAGAAATCATGGATTTATTTTTGGCTACTGCGGGATGAGAAGCAATTAGGCAGATTTCATTAATGACTTACTCAGCTGAAATGGAAAACTTGACATTTAAGGAAGTCAAAGAAATAATATTGAGAAATATTCAAACAAAGAAAAGATTGGTCATATCTGAATGAACCAAATTCTTAGCATTGAAACAAGAATTTGGGAAGTCTATAAGGAAATATCTAAGAATGATAAAAATATTGTTGCCTATGCAGATCAGTTGACAGCTAACCAAAATTACAAGGAAGTACAAAGTGAAGCTAGTTCAAATGACTATGTAGATAAACAAAAAAGTAGGGCAGTGGAATCAATGAATGATCAAAGTTCTTTGGAAAACTTAGAATACTCATGAAACCAATGAGAGGAGGAGAGAATTTAGGAGAAGTTGTAGATCTAGACAGGGTGTGAAACCCAAAAGATTCAGGAAGATGTAATGGGATTGGTTTAGCTTATTGGTAATTATCATAAAGAGAGCTATAACTATAGCTCACGGGCAACTTTGAAAGAATGTACATAGAATATCTATGGCTACTAAGTTTGATCATCATAAAAGGTTATAATGGTCAAGCTCAAATCAGCCTTCCGCTGAGTTTAGAATGACCAAAGAAAAGGTTGATTTACATCATAGGTGGAGGTTTTGGAAAACACATCTGAATTGCAGGTTTGATGATAATTTGCAAGAACATGGAAGAGAGACATGTTTTCCATACTGATCACTGGAGAAGGTTTGGCAACAGAAAGAAACATTGGTTTTATGACATTACTACTTTTCTTCTTTTTTCTACTTCACTTCTGAAGTTTCCTTCAGATAATGAGGTTACTTGGAAGATTTTAGTTTACAATATCAGAAAGTGCTGCTGCTCATCAGTCATAATATATTGCACAAGAGATGTTTTTCTTTACATTTCTGACATATATATATACTTGCCAAAGAATGCAATCAGCCATTTCTTTAATATTATGATAATTTAACTTTTAACACACTGCATTATTCACTACTTTCCTTTCCACTGCATTGTTTTTCAAGGCTCCTTTATTGCGCTACTGAATTTCAGTCACGGCCATTTTCTGTTGCCATAGTAGGATATGACAACACAACTGCAAAATTCAAACACACTATAATTCATTCATCTGAGCCACTTGCAGTTGCAGGATAAATTTTTTGCTTTGCAAGGAAAATCAATTTCAGTACATTAAATGTTAAACATGTCTAAGATACATGTCTAATATATGTACATGTCTAATATTTAATAAACTTTACAATCATTGAAAACATTATGTTTATTTTCTTTGCATTTTATAATGGTAAAATTGCAAAATACATAATTGAACAATTCCAATTATATGCTGCGACATTATAACATTTTTAGAATAGAACACGTTTAGTTGACGTCAGTAATTAACTTTTTTGATGTAAAGTGTTTAAAATAAATAATGAATAATAATAAGTAATATCTGTTAATAAATTCAATAGATTTATTTTTCTTACCCTGACAACCAAATTTATGTCTGGGAAACTTCAAATCAGAAGATAAGCTATTTGAACTTTTATTTAACTAAATATATATATACAGGCTGCTCCTCCAAAACCTGACATCAATTTGTAGTCTAATAACATAGCTAATTCTCGTTCAAATGATCTCCAATTTTAATAAAACGTGTATAAAATTAAGTTGACTATGCAGATTTGGCTCAATGAAAATCTACCAGGAAGATGGATCAGGCATGCCAGTGAAATGGCCACCACTTTCACCTGATTTGACACCATATGATTTTTTTTATGGGTCTATGTGAAATAGCAGGTCTATATCCTTTCTCTTCTTACAAGCCTACAGGAACTTAAGCAGAGATTCACTGAGACACTGGAGAATTGTTATGCAACACATGCTACAGCATGTTTGGCAGGAGCTGGACTATTAACTTGATGTGTGTCGCATCACAAATGGTGCACATTTTGAACATTTGTGAAGCTTTGTGAAATGGGTTATAAAATCTATATCCCTTTGAATATCTTGTTTGAATTTTAATAAATAAATATTTTATGAACTTGTTTGCATGTAGTTATTCAGATATTCACACTTTAAATGATGTCAGTTTTGGAGGGACACACTGTATATATATAAATATGATGATTTCCATAATAGTGGAGTAATGTTTAGCAGCTTGGATTGAGGAATCTGAGAGCCGAGTTTGAATTCCAGTAGAATCCATTACATTCACTTACATGCTAATACCCTTGGGAAAGGTATGAATCCTCTTCTTCTGCACCCAGCTATGGGTAAATAGCAGGACAGACCGGGTTCTATAGCCTTGGATGGCAACCAGTCTACTGCAGAAAGAAATGGCAACCTACTACAGGAAAAAAATGTGCCTTGTCAGTCATGGATTGAAAGATACAATTGCCTAAGCCTGTATCATGCATGGCACATAACTGTCTGACTGTCTGACTCAGATGGGAGCCACCCTCTCACCTTTTGCATTACTTGTAATGGCTTTCATCTTGTTTTTCTGTCCATGATCCCTAAGATGTCTCTTGAGACCAGCATTCAATTCTATAGGTATCATCTACAGATGGAACTATCCTTAATTGAGTTGATTGGATCTGCAACTATCCTGTATACCACCATGTGACTTCTCAGTCCAGATGATCATCTGCAAATCTTGTTGCAAACAACACAGGTATTGTTGGGAGGATGATAAGACAGGATGGCATAATTAGTTTGCTTCCTTATTGTACAGCATTTGGAAGGAACTAAGTTTAAATCACATAGAGTGGAAACACTTTATAAGGGTAGGATGCAATTGCTTTGAGGATGAAAGTCTCAGTCATGCTCAGATTAAGCATGATCAACAAAGAGGCATCCACACTGATTTTCCAATATGCAGTCTTAGAAATGTGATATGCATGAGAACATTCTATTGTCAAGGGCAGCTTATGTAAACCATCTGAAAAGTTATCATACATATATATATATATATATATGAGGAGGCACGATGAAGTAATGGATAGCGGCTCAGATTGAGGAATCAGAGAGGCGAGTTTGAATTCCAGTTGAATCCATTATATTCACTTACATGATAATACCCTTGGGAAAGTTATTAATACTCCTCTTCTCCCTCCAGCTATGGTTAAATAGCAGGACAAACCGGGTTCTATAGCCTTGGATGGCAACTGGTCTAGGAGAAGGACAACTCTGAATTCAAATAACCTGCAGAGTGTCATTTGGGGACCTTGTGGCACTTTGTCTGGGAGGAATGCAATGGCTTTGAGGATGAATTTCTCAGCTCATTTTTGTGTTGACCAGTCTATTTAAGTAGTTCAAAATACAATTATATGTGTGTGTGCACAGATGCAACACTGATCTTAAACTAAGGGCTAAGACATGACACTTTGGCTGAGTGCACAGCTGCAACACTAATCTTAGATTAAGGCTAAGACATGACACTTTCACTTTAGACAGAAGTGCCAATCTCTAGTCAAATAATCTTGTCATGTCTTACCTAAAGTTAAATTTTTTGAATTTATTTACTACTAGCAAAATGTTATCATTGACTTCCTTTTTACATACTGGTCATTGTTAAATACAAGTGTGTCACAGAGAAGACGCAAAAATGTTATTATTCTCAAAAAATATTGTCTTTTTTAAAAAGTTGTAAATCAAGGATGATTGACATTTTCATTAAATATATGAGATGCTACTAAAATGTTTTGGGAATTCAACCATTAAAAACATAAAACTCACCCTAAGAAACAGTACCAGTACCACATTCAGTTGGTGTAAGTTATGAAATTCCCTGAAGTTTTTAGTAGTACCTTGTCTGTAATGAAGCTCATAAACATGAGGTTTTTCCTTTTTTCATTTTTCCAGATATATGAATTTCAGCAGGTCCAGGTAGTAAAGCCTAAATCTGAAATAACAGCAAAAGGACAAAAAACAGGAATCACAGCATCCAATACCAGAAGGAGTGAATTTTATAAGAGTTATTCACAGTAATTATTGGCAGGATGTTTGATTTTTGTGATAAATAAGATTTTGAGTTATATGCAGATTTGTCAAGAAAATAAAATTCCATCTCTGATATTCTGATTGGAAATGCTCAAAGTAATCGACCAGTAAATTATTAAAATAGAACAGTAATGAATTTGTTCTTATTTTATAACGTTTTATATACTTAGTTTCAAAGAAACAGAAAGGTAAGTGTTAAAGAATTAGGAAAAGAAAACAAAAAACAATGACAGATTAAAAAAGAGGGGAATTATAGAAAATATATTTGGAAGATGAAAAAATATAGCAGAATAAGATGAGGTATTTTGAACCCTGCATAAGACTGAGAAGGCTTGTTTCAGTATGGAGTCGTTTAATAGCTTTTTTTATTTCATAGCAACCTGAGATTTATTTTTAAAAAATTGAGCAGCAGTAGCATCAAAAGTATAGTTTTAAGTTGGAAGAAGAAGAAGAAGAAAAAAAAAGAAAAAGAAGAAGAAGAAGAAATGAAAACTGTAGAGAAGGAAGAGGAAGAAAAAGAAAAACTGAAAGAGCAGAAGAAAAAAGCAAGAAAAACTTGAAAGTAGAGGAAGCAGAAAAGGAAGATAAAAGAATGAGGTTTAAAAGTAGTAGGAAAAATACAATTTTGAAAAGAGAAAGAAAAGGACAAAGAGAACTAAATGGAAAAAGATAGAAGAGGAAAAAGGAATACGAAAATTCAGAAAAAAGATATGATGAAAATAAACAAAAATTAAAACAATCAAATTTAAAAAAGAAATATTCTGAAGAAGAAAACCTACAAAAAGAAGTCAGTTAATAATGATTTTTTAATGGTATCTAATAACAACTATTGTTTTGTTATTTCAAATACAGAAGATGAAAAGCAGACAAAAGAAAAAGAAAAGGAAAATGAGAAGAAAATGTAACAAGAGAAAATGAGAGGAAGAGATGGAAAATAATAGGAATAATGAAAAAATAAAAAGAAAGAAAATCATGAAAAGAAAGAATAAAGGAAAAGAAGAAAGAAAAAACAGAAAGAAAAAAATGGATTCCAAAAGAAGCAAGAATAGAAGAAAAAGAAAATGTAAAGAGTGCATAAAAAGAAAAAGTAGAGAGAAAAGTTTGAAGAAACAGTAAAATCAAAAGAAAGAGGAAGAAATTGAATGTAAAGGAAGAGAAAAATTCCTTGAAAGGATAAGAGAGAGGATGAGTGGAAGGAAGACAGCATGATAAGTAAAAATAATTAAAAAAATAGAATAAGAATCAAAAAAAGAAAAAAAAATGAAGAAGAAAGAAAGAAAAAATATCCAATTCAAAATTTTGTTAATTTATTTTTTGCCTTCTGTTGTGACAAATGTCAAAAAAATGGAAGAGGTTGAGTACTTAGGCCTAAACGTTCTCACAAGAAGTGCTTTGTCTTCATACAGCAAATGATTAATGCCAAGATTTGCATAATTTCTTTGCAAGATAATTCCTGAAGAATCAAGACATATCACAACACCATTTACAGAAACATGAAATAAATAATTCATGGCTCATCTTATGATTCCTGCATTCAGTGCATGGAATCACTCACCATTCGTTTCTGAAAGACTCATAAGTTTCTTAATAAATCCTTGTTATTCTTGTGCTCTTCAGTCTGCAGTTGCTGTGCACTGGGTTCTGTGATTATTTTTGGTGAGGCAGAGGGAAGATGGCATAATGTGCACTTAAAAGTCTGCACAAGCAAAGAAATAGATGCTTTTAAAAAGGGGAAATGCACATGCTTGCAAACAAAATTAGATTCATGGATATAAAAAGAACCAGATAGATAGATAGAAAAAGACTGAGATAGATAGACAGACAGATATATATGAACAGACTGAGATAGATAGATAGATAGATAGATAGATAGATAGATAGATAGATATTGATAGACAGATATGAATAAACCGAGTTAGTAAGTAAAATGAATGGATAAATAAGTAGACTGAAAGTCAAAGTTTTATAGTCATAGAACTCAACAGAAGTTTATACCCAAATGCCGATTTGGGTATTTTCAATCTGCTTGGCTATGCATGTTATTGGCTATATGTTCTGCTTAATTATTCTCACAGGAAAAATTATTGGACCAGTGTTCATTACTGAGTTTAATTAACCATGCATGTTCTGAATCTCTCTCTCTCTCTCTCTCTCTCTCTCTCTCTCTCTCTCTCTCTCTCCTCTCCCTCCCCACACACACACATATGCATATACACATTCACACAAACATAAAAATAACACATATTTTTGTGATGGTTCTTTGGGAAGTATACAAATTTCTCACTACACAAGCTGTATGTATTTTTTAAAGAATTTCATTTACATTTGGTGTTTCACTTGCAGATCATCAGTGAATTAACTGATTTATATTACATTCTTCTGTATGTATAGAATGCTTAAATTTTTACATAATTATTTTTGTAAGTTTTTTGTATATTGTAAAGTAAACCAAAAGTTTTTAATTGTTAGAAACTTATAAAAATGCAAATATTTAATTAATATTAAATTATGTATGCTTCATGAAAACAGCTATACTAATACCTTAAGTGATATATATAGAGAGAGTGTATCTGTAAATGCTTTGATAAAGTCCGTCAGAGGAGGAAATGTGTCACCGAAGAATATTTTTTTCTCTTGTCTTTTTATTCATATATATATATATATATATATATATATATATATGTACACCCACACACATATATGAGGATGGATTGATAATTCCATTTCATAAGATAGTAATTAAATTTTGATCTGAAATTTTTCATGATATACTGTTCAATTAAATTGATTAATAGAGAAGTGATGGTTTATATGGAAACAAAAAGGACACTTTTGCTTCAAAACAGAAAGGTCCTGTTGAAATTTCTGGGGCACCTTTAAGAGAAAAGAGAGCTTGAAGTATTTGATACTTACAGGACATTTTGAAGACAAGAGGGAGAGAAAGAGCAAGTAACCTAACTAACTTGTGGAAATGGATGGAAGAACAGAGAGTGTGAGAGATAGTGAAAAGACAAAGCTTACTAAGAGTTATAAATAATAGGAAGTTGTGGAGCACCATGATCACTTATGTCCCAAAAGGACACAGTACATAGAAGTTGAGTTAAAAAAATAGACAAGGAAGGAGATTAGTCTTAACTACTGTTTATCAGGCATGCTTAGAAAAAGCTGTAATGATTTATCACCTGCTTAAATGGAAAAATGCATATTTCTACCCTTCTACTCCTATTGATGCTTACTATAACAGAATTTTGGTTTGTCTAATTTGATAACTATACCTCCTCCTCCAATTACTGTCTAGTTCTATAATTTTCACACAGACTTTCCTAGCGAAATTGTACCAGTCAACTAATATTTTGAACTATCTATCCAAAGTTCCCACTACACAAATTCTTGAAGTACAGTAATAGGTAAGTTTTGATATCTGTTCTAGCTTTAAGCATGAACCAGCAAGCCTACTGTTGTGACTAATAGAATTCCTGAAGCTACAATTTCTACCATTGCACTTTCTACAAAACTAACTTGTCATACTTATAAAAGTTATCAGTAATAATGTTTAAAATGCTACTAGCAGATTTATCTTGTTTTTTTTTTCTTCTTGTGTACCAGTTTATCAGTTCATTTGTTTGAAGCCAATTAATTCCAATCTTCTCTGACAAATTTCAGAAATAATCAATTTTAATTTATTCATTATTTTTATCCTTTTTTATTCAAGTATGATATTAATTTTGTCATTGTTGTTTAGTGAATTTAATTCAGCTGCTTCATGTAAAAAAGGCTATTGGTCCTCAAACTCGAACCTGACCTCAAGTTCAGAATGCAGGTAAAATGGTCAGTTCATTGTACTGCTCCATTAAATACCTGACACCTCCTGCTATCCTCTACCTTTACAAGAGCCAGATCAGGCCCAAAATAGAGTATTGTTGTCATATTTAAGCAGGAGCTGCCCAGACCTCACTCTCCAAACTTGATAGAGACCAAAAGCATCTCTGAGTCCTTGTGGGTGACAAATTCTACACCCTCCAGTCTCTCTCCCACAGGCAGGATGTGGCAAGCTTCTCTCTGCTTTATCACTACTTCCACAGAAGTCTGTACAGACAAACTATATTCCCTGGTTCCCCCCAATTCAAACCTTCATGGCAAGGACATGCCATGTCACTCTAACTGCTTCTTCTTGCAAACTGCTGCTCTGTGGAACCAACTCTCAAGAGGATATTTCCTTGATCACTACAATCTCAACCTGTTCAAGGCTAGGATTAACTGTTATCTTCCACTCCTATCTGCATAAATTGCCTCCTAATGTAACCCTCTACCTTGAGTTGCCCCCAAGCCTTGTTTCCTTACTGGAAAAAAAAAAGTAAAAAAGTTAATAAGTGAATAATAAATTACTACTGCTTTATCTAAGTGTGTCTGATAAATTGTAGTCAAATTAGAGAGTATATTTAAAAATAAATATTTGTATAAAATACTTGCTTTCTTCATCATTACGTTACAGACTCATTGATGAACAAGCATAAATATTATTTTTTTCAGAATTATTTTCAAATATTTGCATGTTTGACAAATGATGAGAATTTGCTTTTGAAATTGAAATCAGTAAAATCAAAGAATTAGTGAACTTTACACTTATCTCTTATCAGGGGAACTCCTTTTTAAATCAAACAGATGAAGAGAGGACTGGAACAACAGAAATATGGTTCTACAGAAGGATGGTGAGCATATCAAGGACAGAGTATATAGGCAATGGAGAAGTCTTAAGGAAAATAGAAACAAAAAGGACACATCAGAAAGTGAATGATGAAATTTCTTGGACACATAATGAGGATGGAGGTTTTAGAGAGTTTGTCACCCCTGGGACATATTGAAAGTAAAAGGGACAGTGGACAGGCAGTTGGACACCTACCCAACCATCTTTTGTGAACAGATGGAGGAATGGTGAGTGGGAAGGATAAGACAAATGTTCCTAACAGCTGTAAGGGATAGGAAGTTATGAAGAGCCATGATAGCCAATGTTCCAAAAGTACATGATACATAAAAGCAAAAGAAGTATTTCTTGCGGCTTAATTGGTAAGCTGATTGTATATTATGCAAACCAAATACAATAAACATAAATATATAAATAAGAACATCAACAAAAAAGTAAATGTTACATGATCAATTTATATAAATGCAACATATAAATTTAACTGAGTCCATCTTGGATAATCTCATGATGAGACCTGGGATAAAATTTAGATAAAATAGGACAAGAAATGTCTGTTAAAACTTTTAATCTGTTTATTCTGGTGTTTGAGATATGAAATGACACATTGTTTGGTCCCAATGCCCATTGGTGTCAATAGCATTCTGGATAATCCTTCTCCAGTGGGATTATCCATAGATATTGAAATCTAATGTGCTTTTTTGACAAAAATAATATCTGCATTTCATGTCTAACCAGGTTGTTATAAATTCAGAGTTATTCTACTAGACTACTTGTCAACCACAGCCAGAGATCCTAGTTTACTCTGTTATTTAACTAATAAGGAGTAGAGATGGATTCATAATTTTCCCATGGGTATTTCTGTGAAAGTGAATATAATAAACATGGCCAGAATTTGAACTCAACTTGTTGGTTTCTCATTCCAACTATTACACTACCTCCACATCCAAAAAATTTTTTTAAAGATTTATATTGTATATGTTTATGCTAAATGCATTTAAAATTACCTTCAAGAATTTTTATTAATTTTGATTTAAAGAATGTAGAATGTTTAGTAATTAGAATTTAAAAATTAAAAATGCTACTTAAAAATGCTAATGAAAAGAGAAAGCAATTTACTGAAATCGAAAGTGCTTTAATTGCTAGATCATCCCACAGTAAATTTATGTCCAGGTTCTTACAACATTTCCCCTTTCATGGAAGATTTTCTATTATCACAATGTGCAATACTTAATAGCAAGAGTGATAAAAATGAAATTGGCTATACTATATACCCAAACACATATTTTAAAAAAATAAATTAAATTTAAAAGATTAAAATTTTAGTGTTCCCTTCCCTTCATTTGGCATGTGTAGTTGCATCACTTTCGACCAATGAGGTACTAAAGGATGAAACATGTCTACCAAAAATACATATTTATAGTAAATTTATCAACAATATAATAAAGATATAATAAACAAATTTCTACGTCAAGAAACATTTGCTTGCAAACACCTTTCTTCTCATTTTCAACTGTGAAAATCAAAAATAAAGCTTTGCAAGTAAGATAAATGTGTTGTGAATCTTAAAATGCATGGGATGCTTTTGTAGGCTATGATAGGGCTTGTCAAAGTCTAGATAACAGATTTTTTAAAACTTTAGACTTACGCTATCAATTGACTGTAAATTGTTAAAGAACATACATATTTACCATATGAATAGTAGGTAGAAAGATCTGACAAGATGCCATTTGTCATTCTCAGCACAGCAGGTTGCAGTTAAGTCTTCCAGCAACAAACCAATTTAATGGCGCTGAAAAATTTCAAGGATAATTGCTGTTTGCATTGGTAAAAGAGATACAAAATGTTCCAAGATTCTTGTTGCTGTGAAACTCATTATTAGTGACAAAGTTGAATAGCAGATGGCACCAACCTTTCTAATACAGTCTACGCTAGAGTGAAAGAACAAAGTTAAAATATAAACAAGATGGCTGCTGGTGTTGTCTGTCTAAGTCAATCTTTTATACAACAAACTAAAACAAACAAATTAAGAAACAAAATGTGTAACATAAAATTAGTTTAAGCCATAGCCATGCCACCATATATTGCTTATAAAAGCTATCAATTTAGACTTGACATTTGAATGTATGTTACATAAAAAGGGAAAAAAATAATATGAATTACCAAGGTAAGAATCTATTTGGAAGTTAATGAGCGATATTATGATTGCATTTGGAATGAAGGCTGACATTCACAAATCTTTGTAGTTTGTGATCTTTTTTTCAGGTGAATTTAGTGTGTATAGATCAAACGGGCAATGACTATTTGTTGACATAAAAATTAGAAAATATCAAAACATGTGGGTGCATAAAATTTTTCCTCTACTGCAATTTTTAAGCATTTGTAGCATTCATAGTCAGGTTTGCATTGTGTCTACTTCACTATATACAAATAGGTCTTTTGATAATTCTAGAGATATAAATAATGTGATTGTTATTAGTGTGGAATGTGAATATGACAGACTAAGTTCAATCCCATTTGATTCTGTTTAATTAATTTTTCTCTAATTTTCCTGGAAAAGGAATCAACCCATCTTCCTCCTGCTATGGGTTAAATAAGAGAGAAGACTTGACTCTCTTTCCTTGAGATAGCAGTCAAGAAGAAAACCTCTGAATTTAAAACTAGCCTGAAAAAGGATGTGCTCTGTCAGGCTATCCTGTCCAAAACACACAACTTCTTCTATAGCTACAGTTCATGTGGTAAACCTCATCACCCTAATCGATTACAGGACTCATGATAACTGATAATTTTACAATATGCATAGTAATATTAGGGACAAAGTGAAAAAGCTTTTTATTGCCAAATACGATCCACTTTTGTTAGGTGAGCATCTTCAGGTCAAATTAAAAGGCAAATCTATATTTTTATATTAAATCCGTTAAAGTCTGTTTGCTAGTTGGAATGAAAGAACAAAATTTCTGCTGGACTCAAAACTAATTCACTCACAACAGATACCTGTTACTCTCTCCATCATAGACATTGCATGTGTATTCTGATAGGCCTGCATGTGTATTCTGATAGGCCGCAGCTATACAATCCCATAGGCAACAAATACCAATGTAATGTGTTGTGATGCAGTTGTTCCTTCCTCTAGATTACAGCTATAGGTAATTTGTGCCACTGTAACCATTCTGCTGGTTCATACTTAGAAAGCTTCCATACACTACTTACATTGATATTTCTTAGTTACCCAATACATTGTCAGTTGTTGATGAGTTTTTTCTCTTGACACAATGTACCACAACTGAATATGTGCACCATAAAAGCCATATCATTTCTGAAAACCTCTGATCTCATCTTCTAGCTATAATGATTTGGCCTTTATCATAGTTATTTAAAGCTTACTTTCTATCTATAAATGCAACATTCAATACAGTAAAATTAAGTACTCAAAGCCACCTTTACCTCACCTTGAGATATGTAATGGTTACCAGTCTGGAGGCTATCATTCTTACCTCATAGTAGCACTGGCAATAATATTTTAGCTCATCAGGGAATATATATATATATATATATATATATATATATAAAAGTGGACACTGAGATCAACACCAAGTAATCATAGTTTCATGCTTGAATACAATCTTCAGGCCATGTGTGCTGTGTTTTGTCTCAACTATTTATATATGCTGGTCAATTATATATCATGGCCAACAATGTCTATAATATTATCTTTATCGTTACTGAGTGGACAGTATTGGTTATGTCTCAAATTATTCAAGAAGTTATTCAATACAAATAAATGCAGATCCAAATGCAGTTATTTGTAGCTGTTTTATAATGTTGTTTTTTTAACTTTTTACTCATTATTTATTATTGATTATTTAATTATTTTTCGTTGATTATTATTATTACATAATAATACTTGTACTAGTTTGTTAATTTGTTTATTATGTAATTAATTTGTTTATTTATATAGATTTTGTGTTCATTTTATTTTTTTGGAGGTTGGTTATGTTATTTGTTTAGTTTAAAGTATTGTCTATATTTATCTATATTGTGCATAGTGCCTATTTTTGCATTTGTCATGGTGATATTTTATAACGTATTTATTTTTAGTTTTTGATTTTTAAGTAATATAATTAAAGTTTATTTATATGTTTGCATTTTCAGATAAGTTCTGATGGTTTATTTAGCAATTTGTGTCAGTCTGGGAAGGTAATTATAGATATTTTCTCCTCCAGACAGAGTTTACAGATTTTGGATTTATTGTTGTAAGCTGATGCTGTTTTCCTTATATTCCATCATATTTTTTTTGTACAATTTGTTTTTAATTTCCAATATATATATATGTATAATATAATATAATAATATCTTAATTATAAAATAGTTTACATTGCCACACAAAAATTTCTATGTTTCGGAACTTAAAAATTGTTCCTCATCAGGTGATGTTGGATAACTTATGATTAAAATGATCTACTTGGGAAATCAGAAAACAATTCAGTAAGTTATCTGAGAATTTAAAAGGAGGAGGAAAAAACACATTTGTGTTGATTAACCAATCAAAAGACGGATCAAAGCTAAAACAGAAAAATGAGGTCAGAAGTTAGGGATTGGTGGGTTATTAATTCATGTCTAGATATATTGACACTTTTAGGCAAGTCAGCATAGATGACATCTGGTTCCGAATTTAAATTTAAGATACTGTGAAGCAGATAGAGAGATATATTTAACAAAAGGTTAATTTCAAGATTTAAAAATATTTTTTTTATATACTTCAGAACTATCTTAATAGAGCCTCTAGTGTAATTAAAACATTTTTATATATATTTTGAACCAAAAATACGATACTTATCATATTGAATGGGCAATAAAACATGGCAATATTAATGTTGAAAAATCAAAGAATTAAATAAATATTATATGGACCTGTAGTTTATAGACATTATATAATGTTTACTTTAAAATATAGTTAATAGAATTTTTCATGAAAAATCTATACATTACAATTACATATCCATTATTTTATTAATACATAAAGGTTCATATAATATTTATTCACACTAGAGGCCCCCCTTTAAGATAGTTCTCCCATTCCCCATCAGAAGCAAAAATTGAACTACTGTTGAATGAGTGTACCATGCTTTTATGTACCTGACCCAACCAGTACTCAGCCGCCAATGAGCATCCAGAACCAGCCAATAAAAATGGCTACAAGCAACACCACCATTTCTATCAGCACAAAGTGCTGCTGATTCACCATCCGTCTGAAACTCACCGATTCACTGTCTCCATACTCCCTTCCAAAACATACACGTGACTCTGATCCTTTTGGGTCACGAAGGTAAGTCACTGCTACATTATATTATGTCAGATCAGATGATGGCTACGTATAGGAGATAGGTTCGAGTCAGAGAATGCATATTTTTTATGAAATTTCTCAAACATTCAGGCTGAAAAATGTAATACTGTTTATTTAAAAAAACAGAGCTTTTACTTAAATAAATTGTATCTATTAAAATATTGTATATATATATATATATATATATATATATATATATATAGTCATCCGCAAACTGACTGTTTCATTGTATCACAGCTCTTCAGTTATAGCTAGACGTCTGACAGCTTCAAGCTGGGATTGAAGCCCAACCGATTTGGCATCAGTCAGAGATCCTATACCTAGGCTATCATCACATGGCAGAGAGAAAGGGAAATTTTAATGTTTTCTTTACGAAATATGCCAGCTCAATTCATAGTTATTTAAGCAGCATATCTTCATTCAAGCATGTTTCATTGAATAATATATACATATTATGTCAATTTATTTTTATAATAATCCTTTCTTGTTCTCTAATTAGCTTCTTGATGTTCAGTCAAAATCCATCAAGGAAGGTGCTATAGGTTTTGTTAACCCAAGTACTTTTGGTCTCCCCTGAGATCATCGTCAGGGACAAATTGCAAAGACAAATTTAATGTAACTGTGATCCTTGTGATGGTGATTTTTGCAAACATGCATGAACACATTCTGTCATAATTATTTTAAAATTTTCGATTTATCCATTGTAGCTATGGTGTTTTTGTAAACAAGCATCCACAATATAAGGGAGATAACTGAAGATGTTAAAAATGCAATGGCATTAACTGTTGGTCAAATGCATTTTAAAACATTGCTACTACACTCATAATAAATTTTGTTCAATGTTGCTTGGTTATTTTTGATATAGAGGGCCTCGAGAATATATGTGTATATATATATATATATATATATATACGCTACAGTTCAAATATTCAAGGCAACTCCTGGTAATTTTTTAAATTGCCTCAAAATGTAGTTGTTTTGTACTTTAAATAAGAGAAAATTATTATACATGGTTAAAAAAGTGAGACATGATTTTTTATTAGAAATTTTATTATGACAGAAAGAAAAAAGCATTTAATGATTGAATTTTGCTCTCAACAAAATATCCTCCTTTAGCCTTGATTACTGCAGCACAAGTTTATGGCATTCATTGCAAAATTTCTCCAAGTATAAGCTTGATAATTGATTCCATTCTTTTTTCATTTTTTCCACTTTTCTGTCAACTTCATTCCATTCTAATTCTGGGGTTGGCTTCAAATGTTTCAATTGTAGTATATATATATATATATATATATATATATATATATATATATATTCATAGTAATTCATTGATCCTA